CCCAACCCACTAAACACACGGCCCTTGTTGACACCCAAGCCCAGCCCACTCCCCTCCCCGACACAGCCCCTCCTCCCCAACCCACACATCCCATGGTCACCCGTGCGAAAGCCGGGATCTTTTGTCCTAAACAAATACTCAACCTTAATACCGTTGCTGAGGTCTCCCCTATTCCCCCTACCTATCGTAGTGCACTCAAAGATCCAAACTGGTACAATGCTATGCGGGATGAATATAATGCTTTGATTGCTAACAATACATGGGATTTAGTACCACCCTCCCCTACCCAAAATGTTATCTCTGGTAAATGGCTATTCAAGCACAAACTTAGCCCCACAGGTGAACTGTCCAGGTATAAGGCACGATGGGTTGTCCGTGGGTTCAATCAGCGCCATGGGATTGACTATGATGAGACGTTCAGCCCAGTGGTCAAGCCCGCAACTATTCGTATCATCCTCAGCTTGGCTGTCTCTCGCGGGTGGCAGATCCACCAGCTAGATGTCAAGAACGCCTTTCTTCATGGTTCTCTCACAGAGACTATCTACACAGCACAACCAAGTGGTTTCCAGGATCCTGCTCGCCCTCACTACGTCTGCAAACTGAACAAGGCGCTCTATGGACTAAAACAAGCACCGCGGTCCTGGTATCAACGTTTCACAGGCTTCCTTCTCTCTCTTGGGTTCCGCGGCTGCAAGAGCGATACTTCCTTATTCACTAATGGTCAGGGATCACACATGGCGTTCTTACTCTTGTATGTGGATGACATCATATTCACAGCCTCCACCCAGGCCCTCCTTTAGAAAATCATCCAACGGCTAAAGGGGGAATTTGCTATGACAGATATGGGGGATCTCCACTTCTTTCTGGGGATCAATGTCCAGCGCACGACTCATGGATTGTTTCTCACACAGACTCAGTTCCTCTATGACATTCTTGATCGTGCAGGTATGCTCTCGTGCAAATCGGCCTCTACCCCGGTTGACACACGAGGAAAGCTATCGGCCTCAGCAGGACCCCAAGCGCCGGATCCTTCCATGTACCGGTCTATCGTCGGGGCACTACAGTACCTCACTTTCACCCGTCCCGACATCACATATGCCGTCCAGCAGCTGTGTCTCTTCCTCCATGACCCACGCACACCACGTCCACTCTTATCCTTTTGCTAAGCATTTTATGCAAGTAGCTTTTGTTTAATTTTGAACTCTTGAATTGCTAGCTTATGTTAATACGCCCCGTCTTGGTAGTACATTACTGTGGATAAATACTTATCTCTAATTTGAGTATTAAGATTAGAATATTCCCATATTCTAATGAAGCAAATATGCAGCGGCAGAGGGGTCACCCTCTAGTTTAGTGGCAGAAAAGTCCGCCTCTAATTTAGAGGCGGATTTTTCCGCCTCTAAAAATAGCAGCAGTGTGTTTAGCGGCAGAAGTGAGTCTGCCTCTAGTTCCACTCTAAATCTTAATTAGAGGCGGATTCTGTACAATTAGAGGCGAACTTGTCTCCCTCTCTTCGCAATTTTTTTAGTAGTGACTCTAAGATATACCCACTTGTATATTGATTATTAAGGATATCTAGAAGACCTCTAAGATATACCTCCTTGACCAATTTATATTTCGGGTTAAAACGTATGTACGGGATCTAGAACTGATACCACCCACCCGACAGATCACTGTTCGGTTTGGTACGTAATCCACATGACTCATAGGGTGGATTATCGATTCTTGTGTTGTGCATTAATAAACTATTTATAGTTTAAGGGCCTGATTAGAAATATTGCCTTAGACTAGGAATAACTAAGAGCTTGTTATGAAATGATTTGGCCTTAGATTAAGAATAATTTAAGAGCACTGTTGAGATATTGGATAATGTATTTATCATGAAATGACTTGGAATAAAATGTTGAGAACATCATGAATGTTTGAATCATATATTGTGTGCATGATATCAAACGGTTGATTATGAATTGAGATTCAATTTATGTGGATGTTCGACTCTTTAGATATGCTTACTCAGCTTCACCGTTGAGCGTGTAGTGTGTTTTATTTGCTACACGCAGGTAGACAGAATGAATGATTGGCATATTCCTGGAAGCAGAAGGAGCGAGATAGTCGTGGTGGATTTACTGACAAAATAAATTAATTATGTTTGTTATGAGACATGTTTAAAAATCACTTCTGCATGTTATTAAACACTCCGTATTTCCTACAGTTATGTATGAAATTTTATTTATGATGAATAAAGTTATTTGAAAAGTTTTAAATTATACGAATACCAAGTTAATACTTTACTCCGAAAGGGGCTGCAGAGCTGGACGGATTAGGGTGTTACAATTTGGTATCGGAGCAAATGGTTTTAAACCCGATCTTCGGATCGAAAATTGATTTTTTAAAAAAATGTCAATCACATCCACGACTCTCGCATCCATCTGCTCTAGGAAAAAGTATGAGAATTTACTTGGTAAAAATTGACTCTATTAGAATTAGATAACAAATGATTAGTATTGAAATCGTATCAAGCTTGGACTCTAGTTGAACTTTTGTACTCGGTGAAGAGACGAAAGAATAAACGAAATACGTTATCAACGTACGCATCGCATCGCGAATGACGAAACTGATCTGCATCGCAAAATTGTACGAAAGTGAGCGACTATGAAGAAACCATAAATGTTGAGAAACATCTATGAAGCCAATGTCAAAGATCCTCATGTGGATTCAAGATTATCTCATCGTTGATTCAAACACAAACATTTAGAATCAATGAACTCTGTTATCTAAAGTATCTGATGCTATTGTTTAACTCATTAGGACACATTATGCTATTACATACTGTGAATCGAAATCGTTCATTAAGCGGCAATTCTTTGTAAAACATCGTTGAAATACCATACAAGGAAATTCACATTATCCTTAGTATGAATTGACTCACTGAACGTCGTTGATGTTGACAACTTGTGATGAAGAATTCCTCAACTGAAGACCAATGATGATAACCTCATATAGGTGAAAGCAAAGCTGATTTCTAAACCGGCCGAGTTCATCTCGAATATATATGAGAAAACGTCTTAACCATAAGAAGTGTGAAGTCTATTTGTGTTATACACAAAAGAAACATCTGAACTGAAGAGACATATCGAAAGTATTTCACCTCTCTGATATGAACTTCCAAATATTTCATCGTTTTGAAAGATTGAATTCTCTGCTAATCTTAATCCTAAAAGGACCAATATTCGTAACTTCGTATTGAATGTGTTTCTGTTGAAACTGAAAACTCAACTATAAAGATTGCCTCACAAAGAATCATGTGACCAAGTGTTTCCTCCTTTGGAGAATACCTGATCTGTTCATATGCGCGCGAATAAAGAAAGATCGAGGAGACTCTGTATCAACTAGTTGTTATCCTTTACCTCGTATCGATGACTTATTTGATCAGCTTAGAGGATCCATTCTATTCTTTAAGATTGACTTACGGTCAAGATACTATCAAATCCCTGTTAAGAAACTTGAACAAACTAATGATCAAGAAACGATACCCTTTACTACGAACTGACAATTAGTTCGGTCAGATACAAAGAACCTGCTTGTTAAAAGCTATAGATAGCTTAACCTTTTTGAATAAACTGATGCCTCGTTATGAAGCGATTAATGACTTAATTGCTCATCATCGAAAACGTCGATGTAGTCTGATTGAATAAATGAAGTAAAGTGATGTTGACAAGACAAATCAATAAGATATTGACTCGTTCGTATATCCTATTGACGTGAAAGATTGGACGTGGTGATAATACAAAACAAGACGTGAAACAGTGACACCAACAGTGAAAGACTGAAGAATGAAGAAATGCAGCTCGCACTGGCCATACAACCTAGAATAACATTTATAAATAATATCATTCCGACACAAATACAACTGGGATTACATGAAGTAATATTATAAATGTAACTCTAAATCAAATCCCTCGGGATTCGCGAACTCGTTGTAATTAGCACCAGGACCCGAAAAAGCCTTAGCAAAATCTAGTTTGTCTAAAAGCTCATCAAGAAAGAAAGAAGAGATGAAAAGTTTCCTCTGATTCAAAGCCATGAAGTTCTTCCTCACCGCATCATCTAGAAACTTGATTAGGTTATTGAAATAACTGTCAATGTTCAAAAGACCAATGGGTTTACTGTGC